CAGCAGACCTCTGGAGGTACGCTTAAAAGAACACAAATATAATTTCAGACAGGGCCTGCTGGAGAAATCCAGATTGGCCCAACATGCGTACGAAGAAGATCATCATGTCTGTTGGGATGGGGCCAGAGTATTATTAACTGAACCCAATACCATCTACAGAAAATACAAGGAGGCGGCACACATGGCACTACTCGCCAACCCTATCAGCCAGCCTAGTTTGGATTTATCTCCTATTTGGATACCTGTAATCTCTGAAGAAATCCAAGTTGGGCATCGAGTTTCGTATTAATATTCATGTGTATTTATTCCCACCTTTTGTGAGTTTGTGTCTTCTGGCTTTATTCGTGTTTATGAATTTTGTTTTCTACATACTATTCTTTTACGTCCCACGGATGGATGGTGTGGTAATGCCTTTTATTCTGGGACTTTCACTTTTTAATTTGTCCGGAGATAGGGATTAGCTCTATCTAGTGGGCCCAACTGAGTAGGAACCTGAAAACGGAGATAGAGCCCCATCTCCGAAACGTCGTTTTACGTTTTTTACGTGTTATTACTAGACGATGGATAATATCCAAGTAAATTTTTATTCAATTGACTAAAGAAGTGGATTATTCACAGACAATGCCTGTCAAAACCCATGAAAGTGAAAGTAGTGATGCTAGAATTGAAAGTGTTACTTAGCACAGAGTAGGAAATTTATTATCACACTTAAGAGTGCTTGCCGATAGCAAGCATGCTACAAAGGATCAGATTTGCTTTGTAGCAGCCCTGAGGACGAGAACAGATATTGTTCTCGAAACGTTGGCAGTAGATAAGGTTTATTCACAATTCAGCCACCTAACGCGGCTTGTAACCTGAGTATCTTTCATCAGAGTTCCAAATCATCAGCTAAGAAAAGTGGATTGTGTACTTTTATGTATATAGTATAAAAAACTAACACCGACTGTCCACAAATGTTTAACGTTGTAAAATATTGCATGTTCAGCTCAACACAGCCATGTTTCCACCAAATTCTCAATAATATATTTTTAAACCATAATATTTTAATTTCCTGTTTAGAATATTAGACCATGTTGTACACTGGTAAGTCAAGCTGGTCACTGACCTACAATTATTTTATGGAGGGCAGTAAGTTTCAGCTGTGTTTGAATTGGTTGAATTCAATCTCGGAAGCTGACAGTTTCTCAAGAAATTCACTGCAATAAGAAAGATAATATTGGTAAGCATGAATAAATGGGATCTTATAATCCTTGCATTCCAAAAGAACTGTAATACAAATTATTTTCAGCCAAAAAATGAAGGTACTGGACAATCACAAATTCCGTAGCATGGCAGTAAGAGTCCTGCTTGATCTGTCAGAGAATGGCTTGTTAATTAACGTTTGTTTCCCAGCGGATCTGTAGCTAAACTTCCACTACCTCTCCCTCTGCTACCAACATCTGAGCTCACTGTCTTGCTTTCACCCACTACTCTTACATGCTATCTTTATTTGTGCAGGGTATAGTAATAGCTCAGCACTGCATTCTGATATAATCATTAAGTGTGCACTTACCAGATTTTCATCTGTTCATTCAGGGGACTACGTCTTGCCTGCAGGAGCTAATATATTCATCATAACTTACACTTTGCATAGGGATCCAAAATACTTCCCAAATCCAGAGAAGTTTGATCCAGATCGTTTCTCAGCAGAACACATCCAGGGCAGACCCCCATATTGCTACATTCCTTTTGCAGCAGGCTCTAGGAACTGTATAGGTAAGTTTTTGAATGTAGCTGTGACCAAACAAGAAAGCCAAATACACAACTTATTTTTCATTACAATTTTGCTTTGACGCATACACTGATATTTTACTTCTAAAACATGCAGCTTATGATCATAGTAACAAATGTTTTGCAAATGAAATTAATTGTAGATCAAGGAGTTACAAAAATACAAATAAGTATTATTGCTATACGTACCATTTATCTTGGTGTATTAAAAAGTTTGACCGTGAAGGAAGAATGTTAGCATGTTGCTCTGTGCATTCAGTGCTGAGTACTACCATCCACAATATTTCTTCATTGTATACACCGTGTGACCAGTGTGAGAAATATGACAGTGGAGCAAACACTGCTGCAGAGAATGTTGTTCAGTGGTGAATACCCTGAATATCTGCAATACTGCACTACTGTGAAAGTTAAGCCATAATGAGCAGAGCCAAAATTACAACTACGAAGTTTGGATGCCACATCAACTGATGCAGACAACAACACACATACAGAAATGTACAAAATGTCATGTTTTATTGCTTGTAGGCCAGAAATATGCAATGCTGATGTTAAAATCATCATTGTCAACTCTACTGAGAAATTACAAACTACTGGTTGGTGTTACACCTCTAGACCTGGCTAATGAAATTATACTTAAATCACTGTCTGGAATCTACATCAAACTTGAGAGGCGATGAAGATCTGACAGACAGAAACAATGCAGGGGAAAAAATAGTTATGATAATCAAAATAGACTGCTATAAAATAAGCATTGCAGACGTAAGTTTGCGTCACACAAACTTGTAGCCTTCTAGATCTTCTCCTGACATTGCAGGAGGCATTATTATCTCCTGACCCCGTTTCCCTTGTGCCTTTAACACTCCCAGAACTAGGATGTCAACATTTGGAGCAAACTCCATCACAACCCCAGGTCTTATTGTAAAGGTCACCTGTTGGACAGAACAGCATATTTTCGGTGGATACAAAACTTGTCCAATGTTATTATCAATTAGATTATCTTGGTGCCTGGCATATCTGAATCACAGTCTCTCAAGATGTCTACATTCTTTTCTTTCTTTTCTCACATCAATTAACAACGCTATTTTGACTGATAAGGTTCAGTACTTTTATTTCAAATACAGCGAGTTTCTAATTTAAAATAAGTGACCCAGAAATTCATAAACACAATGCCACTGTAAAAAAAATATAATAATCATATAAACACAATAAAAACAGAGAGAGGGAAAGCTGTAGGACAATGGAGTATACATTTTGTAAATCTATTGCTTACCTATTTGTTTTCTTTTGTGGTCTCCATGCTCAATTGAATAACATGCAAGTCATCTCAACAAATGTATTTCAGTAACCACTTAAATGATATATTTCCATATTCTTATGTCTCCCACAAAGGATTATATAAGTCCATTGGCATGTAAATTTCGTTATGGCAGTCATTTCATTTTATAAGTTTTTGTGCTTTTCAGTATCACCTGTTTTTCATTAGAAAACTGTGAAACAAAATCTATATAAAATAACTATTATGAGAGTAAAAATGTATGTATTTCCAGCTACATAGCATGTACATAAAAGTTAATTTACTTTTTTAATTATTCAATATCTTTACCTTTATATTAAATAAATATCAGTCACTATATTGACTGACTATGGGCTGGACAACCAGTGTTCAATTCCCATAAGGGGCAAAAGATGTTCCTCCTAGTCTCTGCATTCAGACCAGCTCTGGGCATGAACCTGATCACTAAAATGTATTTAGTGCCAAAGACAAGAAATAGTGGAACTATACCGCCAAAGAGGACAACATGGCATTGATTTCAGTTGCAGTAAAGTCATCTCTGATGTATTTCTTAGTGATTCATGTACAAATTATGCAATTCTAACTGGGGTGTATTGTTTAGAAATGAAAAACAGTCTTTCTATCCAAGGTAGTGGGTGAACATATCAACTTACAAATATCACCACAAACATGTTTTGCATAGCTGTGGTTGACTTATAAATAAAGTTTTAAATGGTTTCATAACATATGTTAGCTTATTTTATGTACACTTTCTTCTCTATGTAAACAGATGCTGTGAATGAACAAAGAACATTTTTCCTTCATGTCTTGGACTCAAACCCTAGTTAGAATCATCTTGTTATCATGGATGGTACTTGTAAGACAAATACGTTTTATGTTTTTCCATTTCATTATCATCAGTCTGTCCAATCAGCAGACGTGCTTTTCAGTATCACCTGTTTTTCATTAGAAAACTGTGAAACAAAATCTATATAAAATAACTATTATGAGAGTTAAAATGTATGTATATTTCCAGCTACGTAGCATGTATATAAAAGTTAATTTACTTTTTTAATTATTCAATATCTTTACCTTTATATTAAATAAATATCAGTCACTATATTGACTGCCTATGGGCTGGACAACCAGTGTTCAATTCCCATAAGTGGCAAAAGATGTATCTCCTAGCCTCTGCATCCAGACCAACTCTGGGCATGAACCTGATCACTAAAATGTATTTAGTGCCAAGGACAAGAAAGAGTGGATCTATACATCCACAGAGGACAACACATTGGCATTGATTTCAGTAGCAGTAAAGTCACCTCTGATGTATTTCTTAGTGATTTATGTACAAATTATGCAATTCTAACTGGAGTGTATTGTTTAGAAATGAAACAGTCTTTTTATCAAAGGTGGTGGGTGAACATATTAACTTACAAATATCATCACTAATATGTTTTGCAAAGCTGTGGTTGACTCATAAATAAAGTTTTAAATGGTTTCATAACTTATGTTAGCTTATTTTATGTACACTTTCTTCTCTATGAAAACAGATGCTGTGAATGAACAAAGAACATTTTTCCTTCATGTCTTGGACTCAAACCCTAGTTAGAATCATCTTGTTATCATGGATGGTACTTGTAAGACAAATACGTTTTATGTTTTTCCATTTCATTATCATCAGTCTGTCCAATCAGCAGACTGACACACTTTTTCCTTCTTTCAAATTTGTCCTCCTTTATTTCAACAGAGACTCCTTGCCTTACTACAAGGTTCCCACAGTGTCTGTCTGTTTACTGTGAAGCTCATCATATAATGAGGGCTTGAAAACCCATTTTCTCTGATTTAGGATGGGAGCTATAACTGCTATTGTGCCACAGGACTCAATTCTTAGGGAGTACCCTACCCAATCTAAATAAAATTACAAACATAACCAAAATTGACTTCACACACATCAAGTAATTTTATGCCAAACTGAAAGCTGTATAAGTCTATATATTTCTTTATGTATCTACAATTTATTCTGAAATTCTGATCACATTCTGAGCAGAAAGAGCTTAAAAATGACATTAATTACTGTGAAGATTTTAAGCAATTAACAACCACATTACAAATTTAACAGCAACTTCTCTCCGTGGCTGATCCCGTGTTGCTGCTAATTCGATAGCTGTAAACAAGCCATGGTTCATTTACAGTATTATTTTGACACTTGCTGTAAGGGACAAATGTTGTTGGCAGCTTGTATTAGTCTTCATCAACAATTATGTGCTTCTTAGTGTTAACCAATGGAGATGTTATTTGGGTTTATAGGCCTACTTTTCCCAAGATGACTGATGCTTTTAATTTAAATACTTTGTAATTGTTGTGGGGGCTAAGAAAATGGCAGAGAAGTTAAGTCAGCCACTTTTCAGTTGTAAATGCAGTAATACTGTTCAATGGACAGGTCTGTGTATTTATTTTCTTGGAGTGTTGGGTGTTTAAGGGACTGTGATTCACAAATAAAATTTTAATCTGGTGCATCTAAAAGAAAGCAAACAGCTGAGTTAAAGAAAAGAAATCTAGAATTAAGTAAGCTAATTCAAAAACTTTTAAAGAAAAAATCATGATTCAAGTGAACATAACAAAGTTTTAGGCAAAGATGAAACTGAAGAGCTGGTGGTGCATGACTCAGATGAGTCAGTTCTAG